TAGCAGAGGTGAGTAAATATTTATATTCACTTAAGTAATATTCTTCTGAGTGTATCGCTAGTCTTATTTGAGACAATTTTCTAGCTACTCTACCCATCACAAGTAATTTGAGCTATTCAGAGATCAGGTGAAAATACAGTAAACTGGAAATATTGCAGCTTAAAATCCCTATTCTTTCCTAACATATGTGTTGCTTATTTTTAGGAATATTTTTTTTATTGGAAAGAAGACTTATTGTTTGATTATATGAGTATGAACATTAAATCAGATGTTATAATACAACAATTATTCAGTACATATGTAGCCACTTTACCAAGTGCTTTTTTACTCTTCCTTGTGTACATTTTTGTACTTTAAACACTTACTCGAGTAGAAAAACATTAAAGTAGTGTTAGTCTCACTCATAATATATTTTATTATTTAATAAGTACTGATATAGAGTTAGAATAGAGGATTGCACAAAGTCACTGGGTTAACGGGACAGATTATACTTGATAGTAAATCATGACATAGCATCTCTGTGATAAATGGCTGTGAAATAGCCAGTAATTTACTGTGTTTCTATTACAGTAGTTTTTGCAAATGTTTCTAAAGTAAAAAACTGTATAATAAACAGTAATTGGCAATATACTTTATACATCACAGAAATACACGTGATACTGTAAACAGTCATTGTAAACCTTCCCTGTGTTGCGTTTGGGGTGAGTGACATGAACGATTAGGAGTCTCATCAAAAGTCCTTAGGCACATTTCAGGACAATATGTTCTGTCTCTATGGAAACTTCATCCACATGGAAAATAGGGAATGTAGATGTTCAAATCACTGCCTCTCAAAAAGTAGAAGTTAAGGATGTCTACTTCCCCTATTCTGGCTCCCAGAAAACTTTCAAATTTCAGACCTGTGCAACTTTTTAAAATATGTGTGACTTAGAGGGTCTAGAGGGCCACACGTCTGAGAGCTTCTTACAGTAGTAGCCATTCAGAATTTCCACACTTCCCTTGATGGACCCTTGGCTGTTCCGTGGCTAGTCCCCTACAACCCCCTTTTTAAACATTTAAAATCTTCTTTCCTTCATGATTTCTGGACATTAAAATCTAAAAAGAAGCGTTATCTCCTGTTCAGACCCTGTAATTCAGTGAAAAGGTAGAGTCAGATTAAAAAAATATGCATGCCCATGAGAAGGCCAGTAGCTGGAAGTTGGAGGGGATTTTGCTGCCATTCGGCTGCCAATCAGTTTGATTTAGACTGGGAAGAGACATTTAGAATGGCTGCTACTATACAGTATATGATTAGATTTCGAATGGCCGATCAAGAAAACAATTGGGATTGGGTTATTGTTCCGCAGGATTATTGTTTCAGTGGTGTCGGATTGGGGAATTTGCCCTGAACCCGGAAGGTTGTTGGTTCAAGACAATTCACCTGCACTGCCTTTGGTCAACTCTCCTGACAGGTGGGAAAATTAATAACTCCCAAAGAGTTCAATGGAACAGGCTGACATTTTTTTATTTTTTTATTTTTTTATCACATAAATTAAAAATATATATATAAATAAAAATAAATAAATAAATATAAACAGGCTGACATTTTAACATCTGTATCAGAGAAGGTAGGGGACTGATAGCTGGTTTCTAGCTTTCAGACAAGTGCCAAAAATTACATGCCCTACAAAACCTTTTTTTTCTGCTTTGGAAATCACAACATGTTTTAAAATGAGAATAGTTCATAATTATAGGTATTGTATTTCTGGCATATATCCGATGTTATGAGTCTGCTGATATTATTGACCAATATGGGCATTAAAATATGTTATCAGAAAGTATATGGGGACCAACTCCCATGTGGGAGACCGGCGTTCAAATTCTGCATGGGACATACATACAGTATCATGAGGATTTATTTAAATATGCACAGTGTTGGGCAAGCTACTTGTCCAGTGTAGTGAGCTAAGATATCAGTTACTCAACAATAAATTAAGCTTCACTACAAAAAGAAAGAAATATAAATTGCAAAAGAAATATAGCAAGCTAAGTTAACACAAATGTGTTAACAGTAGCTTTATTACATCAGAAGCTACTTAACGTTGTACCAACCTAATGTCAATTCAAAATGAGTCTGATACACTGGTTAAAATATTTAATTAAGATCAGCCAATGACCTAATACAGTGTAAACATTGGTTTATGAGCGGCATAATAAAATAAAAACTGAAGTAATTACTAGTAGAAATAAAACAAAAAGGTTATTGGCCTAGTACAGTACCAACTCAATGAAACAATCGGCTGTTATTTCTACCAAATTAAAGGTACTGTGTAGTGTTCTACGCATCTAGACATGGCTATGGGTTTACATTCATTGGACATTTCTATGGAAAACAAAACCCTATTAAAGGCGTCTTATTTCTTTAGGGCCTCCCTTAGAGAAAACTTCTTCAGACCTCACTTAAACAAGTTGATTCAAGTGACAAATGAAACTGTTTACGAAAAAACCTCATTTTGAAGTAATCCTTGCCTATTCCCCATACCCAAATGGAAAAGCAAATAACTTAGGAACTGTAAGCCGAAATTACATGTGTGATACATTATTTGAAAGCTAACACCTTCTAGTTTCTGAATATAAATTGGGTGAGTAAAACACAGCCCAAGCTACATTAGTTCAAACATGACTCAAAATTGTTTGGTTTTTTTTTATTCTCAAAAATAATAGGTCTTTTGTGAATAGCAGTAATAAAGTCATGCTTGAGTATAGGCATGTCTCATATATTATATTTGTTCTACATCATTTCAACCGAAGAAAATTTCAGACCTCTAGCTACAACTGTTCCAGAGCTGTGGGGCTTTGAACTTTTGGTGTCAGTAGCGTCTCCAAATCTCTCCAAATTGTGTCAAATGCTTTTACTCAACTATTTGACCCATAGAATAACACTGAAGCATTTTGATGGCCACAAAACATTTATGAAGCAAGTATTTTCCACCTTTTTCAGAATCAGTGTAGATAACGAAATCTAACATTTATAAACATACAATAACATAGAAATATATATATATAAAACAATAGTGAAACTGTTGCTTTTCAAGCTAAAATAAGCCCCAGTGCCTTTTCTGAGCTGTATTTTTTTCTTTATTTTCAGCCTTAGGCATTGTAATAAAACTAAATCAGCATCCAAACTTAAACAAAATAGGACAGTTGTTATTTAGCTTCGAGTTGCCCGCATTGATCCACTCTCAGCTGTATGTTTTTATTATGAATATACTGGATTAGTTTTAAGTTGTGGACCCTTATGGACGAATGGAGTATTAACAATTGAAGATTGGATTTAAAAAACGGCTTCTTGATGCTTTCAAATGTATGTTGTTGAGGCTGCTTTGACATGTTTACATTTTGACATGCTGCCATATCTTTGTTAATTGTGCTTTGGTTCTTGCTATGTCCATAAAATTAACTTGGTGGTTGAATTGTGGAGAATCTTTCCAACAATGTCTAACATGTCTATATTGGTAAACGTTTTACCAATGTAATTT